AATTGAATTAGTAAAGAAGTTGAACATTTCAGAGCACATTTGAATGAGCTTTCAAAGTTCAAAAACTTTAATTAGTTCCTGAGATATTTCCTGAAGTAATATTTGAAAATAAAGCAAGAAACAAAAAACGCTTTCCCACACCACTTTTCAAGCTGCATAATATGGCGATTGGAGTTTTTTCATTTGACGTTTCGACTCATTATTGGGTTCAGCAGTACCAAGAAAGGATGAGAGGAGAAAAAAGGTGCATCAACTGAATTTCTTCCCATTGATGCTACAAATGTAATACGGATTCATACAGACGGCTCAAACACCAAAGAAGGCTCAGGATGCGGAGTGTACTCCAGATCACTAAGCTTAAGGATTAAGTGGGGAATTGGAAGAAATACCAACGTGGTCCAAACAGAACTCGCTGGTATCTCAATCGCCACAAAAGGAATAACCAAGAAAGGAATTTCTGGCAATGTTGTTTTTCAAATCTCGGAATCTACTTGAGTCATCGGCCACTGTATACCCTTCAATTTCAGAACGCTGGAATAATGAGGATATGATAAAGTACGATCAGCACGTTTCTGCACAGGATAGAGTGCTGAGGTAGCAGCGAAGCAGGCTCCATCGTCGTTTTTAATATTGACGCAAGCTTTTCTTTGCAAAATTTGAGGTGGAAGTTCTATTAATGAGGACCCCAGCTGCGGTGTGAACTTATTGATATTCACACCCAAGTTCAAGATTTTTTCGGCGCCCAGCCACTGTCCCGTTCTTAAAACTCTTCGAGGTCTTTGAGTATTGGTGTTGTAACTTTTTCATCGAACCAATCGTTGAGGGCGGTGTCTCTATATATGGGATAGTTTGTAGTAGTGAAGTACTTGTACTCCTTCGGTACTTTGTCTCTCTCCACTATCTCAAATTCTCCGCAGAAGGTGGTATTTACCTTGATAGATTCATCCTTCTTCAGAGCATTCTGGATTCGCCGCTTGAAGAGAACCTTGCATAACAATCTGCACTGATAGCAGACAAGCACTATTAGCCTTGAACAGACAGCGTGTTACCTCAGGGCTAGTACTAGAGTGCCACCAAGATTTAGCCAAAGCCTCGGTAGATGATAACATTATCCTGAGGTGGGTAAAAGGGCGCGACAGGAGTAAAGGTAATCGCATTGCCAACTCTTTAGCCAAGGAAGTGGCTGGAATAAGAATTATAGGACCCAGTGACACCCACGGCCTGATGACTTCGACAATTGCGGAACTAGTCAAATGTTACACCCATGCTCAATCCTTAAAGAGATGGAATGGAATGGAATAAAAGGATGTAATCCAGCCAGGATCACCTTGGGCTACCCTGGGAAGCTAGCGCCGAAGAAATATCTGGCGATGACCAGGAAAAATCTACGCCTTACAGTAGGATTTCTGACTGGCAACTGTCAACTAAGGAAACACCTCCATAATATGGGGCTAGTGGACACACGTTTATGCAGGATGTGTGAACTGGAAGATGAGACTGTCAGGCATGTCCTGTGCGAGTTCCCGAAGTTATCGTCAATAAGAGAGTGTGTGTTAGGCGAGTCTTGGCCTACACCTGTCGATATGAAAGAGATGTCTCCCAGCGACCTGTCCACCTTTCTGGAAAGGACAGGATGGGCGATGACCTAGGAGGACAACTCCTCGGGAGGATGTACAATGGGTCACATGCAGCCTAAGTGCGTAGGCTTACACTCACCCTCCCTACTCTACAAATACAGATTCTTCCCATTGATGCTTAAAACAGCTTTCAACAAAAGTCACTCATGAAAGATTATCTTGATGAGTCAAGTCAAAGCCAGAGCCTTTCCCATCTCGTTTCAATAATTGTTTTTGTGGTAAGGAAATAATATCAAACCCCTGTTCCAAAATACGGTATTAATCCACTTATTGCAAAGTTCGGGATAACCAAATGTCTAGGCTAATATCCAAACTTTCCGCATTTAATCTAGGAGGAGTGAGGTAGTCGGTCTACAGTCGGTGCATCTGAGTTAGCGGATCTCATTAGTAGGCAGCAGCACACAACTCCGCAACTCCCCAACTCTAAATCATAGAGAAATTAATTACGTTTCATTCCCGTTATCAAGTAATACACAAATCACGTTTCCACTATCTGTTACAGCTCGATTTGATACGAATAACCGGCCTTATCAACAGATAGGGCTCCTGTTCAATCCAGTGCACTCTGACAGTTACAAATTCTAATTATTTATAGTCCCTGATTACACGCATTAGGTGGTTTGACTCAGAGGCGTAAGTTTGGGGTGTTGTTGGAATTGCCATATGGCAGATAAAAAGGAATATTTTTAGAAATATCGATATTAATGTGTTTCTCTTCAGGAAATTATCAAATATTTTGTCATTTTGTAGTAGGTGAAGATATTGACTTCACATTGTAGGGTTGTGAAGTATTCGTCAGGAGCTTCAAAATGATGTATCACAAGACCCCCTTCCCATTTAATTTTTCCCCAGATGGCGTCCAGTCGCCATCTTGGAAGTTTCATCTGTCAATTTCACTTCAAAATGAAGCATTTATGCATCAAATTTCAATTTTTTGAGTCGACCCGTTCTAAAAATAAAGGAGGTCGGGCATTAAAGAAATGCACTGTATATGAATTATTGGGATACAAAGTAATATCAAATCAAATCTGAGAGTTTCTGTAGTAGCATTTCTGCGAAGTTTCGACATTTAGTCACAATCATATTTGAATAAATGATTACATTGGTTAAATTTGATCCGGACAATGATAGTAATTGATATTGTGAGAGTGGAGCATAGTGCCGAGAGAAAGAGCTATAATTTTGACAGTTAGCGTGTTCTAATCAAATCGTCTTGTTATTTGTCCACAAAAATGTGTTCACCTATCAAAATCGTCTTTTATGGGAGGAGATATCATTACATAGGGATACATTGTATTTCCTTTTATCTAATGGCTACTATCGAATATTGGCCATCTTCAACTACAAGTACGGGTGTTTTTGACTGCCCTGAATTTTGCAAAATTTCTGTATTTCACTGATCATCTCTTGGTCATATAGGCTTCAAAGTTAAATTTCTTCATGAAATTAATAAGCAACTTAGATTTATGTGGGTGTAGATTCTCCATTGCCATTCAGTACATTTTTATTAAATGATCAAGAACATTATTGATCTTGGATATAAAACTCTCGGTCAACTATTGTTTTCTCTAAAACTTACATCATACTGTAACTATTTTTATAGCCCTCTCTTAAGTTTGTTTCAAGCAATAACTACAACAATAATGAAGATGAAGTATTTTCATTCCTTAACTTTCCCAATGCGATTTTTTTCTGTATTTTATTGGAAAACTTCACAATAATTCTTAGGAATTTCGTCGTAATGTCAAACAACCGATGATAAATCGATATCGTACAAACCAATAACTGTTAACTGAAAACTGTGAGCCACGCATTCATAAATATAAGTGAGAAAATACTTCTGAACAATACTTATTACTTTATTGAGTTTTACTTTAAAAAAAGGCTCAGCAAATACCCACTTATTTTTTTCAAATTCTTCACTTCAAACCGTCATTTCATTTCCTCATTGACATGAACCATTAGTAATCGATTTCAATAGTTACAAATGGGAGTGAAGAGAAAAAGTATGCCATTGAAGGCTTTCGAAATATCTCAATAGGATCCACAAATTATTACTTATCCCCGCTATGAGTGGCGAGAAGTTTTAACTAACTGAAATTCTCTTTAAAATTCGATAAACATCCAAACACGTAAGCTGGCAGAGACGAAATGAGCAATAAAGTTTCACAAACTCTCGTTAATGGAACTCTGGTAACGATATAAACATAATAATAAACAAACTTGTTAATGCCGGAACAACTTTTCATTAAAGTTAATGATTTCAAATGCAGTCGTACGTGTGTGGATAAATCGGGGATTATAGTAGCGTGAAAATGCTTTCAATGAAGTGGAAATATAGTTTAATTGTAGCACAAATCAGTGAAAACATAATCAATGCGTAATCGAATCTACGTCGGCAAAACAAGCGTGATTTTCTGAGATGACTTTCTCATATTCTGAACCCATTTATCAAAATTCAACTTTTGCTTTCATAGATTCCAGAAGTCCATTGTATCATGGCTTTTGATTATATCAACCGCAGTGTTAGACGAAATTTCAGGCATAGAAACTTGCAGACCGCGGACAACAAACATTAACATTAACATTATTTTTAAAAAGTTTTATGAGTGTTTTCTACAGTTGATTGGGGTTCACTACTCTATACACTACAATCACAAACAACCAACGAAAGAGAGGTTACTGACTGAACTCAACATGGAGAAGTGAAAAGACATAACCTTTCTTTTCCAAAAACTGTCCACTCCCAAGAATATACCCTTCACATTGTTTTCAATAAATAGTTGAGATAACGTTAGTTTGGATTACTATTAATTTTCATCTGCAAACAACTATTTATTTTCTGTTTGTAACAATAGAATATTCCCTTTCTGGAATTTTCAATTCAACAGCAGAAATACATATTTTCCTTAATGAAAAAATACGCATTTTCATTAACTTACATGCAATATGAAGCATGCTCATGATGTTCAATTTTTAACCAAATATTTTAATTATGAGAGAAATGTATATGATGTCTCATGGTTAACCTCACTGAGCTGGCGACCATTTCTGTAATAAGTCCAGCACGAACGTAATTGTTTGTAATTATTTCAATGTATCTGTTGACTCCTTCGATAATCGTCATGTGATCGATATTTTCAAAGACAATGTTTTTTGTGCAATAACTGACTTGAAAATAATCTAACCCAGCTATGTTGTGTGGATAAATCTGGGATTATAGTAGCGTTAAAATGCTGTCCTGTTCAAGGATTTAACCGGACAGAAACGAAATTTTCGTTACTTCAGACCGTTGATTGCCCACGTTTCTCTGTTCTCATAGTCATTTGTTGAAAATCTAATAGCATGTTTTTATCGTTTCAGCTCATCGATGCAAGTTACCGGAGTAGTCCATCTTTCCAGACATCGGCTGTGATAGTATTGTGTTCTGTGCTTCTTGGACTCCTAGTTTTTATAGCTGTTATTCTCATTTGGAAGTGAGTATATTTATAAAGTAATTACTTTTTGAAATTGAATATTTTATCGTTCTCTGGAAATTTAATTAAATTTTCATTGCAATCAATTTTCTCCTTATGCCTGCGACTTCAATCGCGTTTTGGTTCATTTGGGGTCTTTCTGGCACATAAATCAGATTGAATGTGACCGATGGTATGAGTTCCGTAGGCTTTGAGAACCGCTGTGGTTTGTGGCTTTGTGGCTTATCCGCCTACACTCCACAAAAAGAAGTCTCACGGGGTCAAAACGCATGATCTCGATGGCCACTTCACATCACTTCCACGCGAGATGTCCATGCCCTATCGCTTTTGTAGCTCACGCTCTTGGATCTGATGTCGATTGGTATCTTCCAAATTCGACAATTTTGTTTATTCACGTACCCATTCATCCGGTTCTGGTGCAAGATTGTGCATACATTTCAATAGAAATAATCACGTTCAGGAGGAGTAAGTATGCATTCTTTAGAAATCACTATCGTCGATCAAGTTCTGCATTCTGCTTTTGTTTGTCCACAATTGACGGAACATCACTTGGATTCTGAAACGAAAGAAGAAATCAGCAAATCATCCTCAGCCACTATTTCAAATATATAGAAAGGTGAAAATATGAAAACAGCAGCCACTCAATCAAAAAAAAATATTTTTTTTTCAATAAAACACAGTTTAAGTGGATTTATTTCGTTAATCAGCCCAATTGTTGTTCGCCTGCACTGACAACCCTCAAAATTTTAAACTTGTCTGAGGTCTTATTATTTAACATACGATTCCTAGCAAGTTAAAAAGTGCTCAAACATAATTGGATCAGAAATAAATAATCAGCTCATGAGACGTACCTCAAATCCCTTTGAAGTGGACAGAAGTCTATACAGAAAAATTGCCTTTCAAAATAATTATTAGATGATCAATGAAAAATATGAAATGTTTCAATTAAAAAAGTGTAACTCATGATCAAACAAACATACTTAAAAAAATATGATTCGCTATTTAAATAACAGCATTCACTGTTTTCACGTTTTTGGAAATTCATATTTCATCTCTAGTGAGTTTGGTAATATTTCCACCTATTTGTTACATTCCTAAAGAAAAATTTCAAGCTGAGTAGGGTATATTCAATTTGTTCCCAAAGAATAACATAAAAATATTTCTGAAGTGATTACAGAAAGCAAAGACGTTTCGGAATTCAAAAAATATTTACTTGTTGAAATTGTATTATAATTTATTGTCGAAACTATAAGTACCTCTATCTTTCAATAAAAAATGAATTCGGTCTAAGATAAAATCAAATTTTATTCAGAGGAAATGCTCTTATTTGAAACAAGATATAATGTATGTTCAAAACAAAAGATTGGCAAATTTGAATCAACGTGGATGATTTTTCAGTTTAAGTTAATATATACCTTCAGAGCTCGGCAAATATAAATAATGCATCTGTGAAAAATTACGGAGCATTGGTATAATTTTCGCAAAATGAGGGCAAAATTAAGAGTTGCCGTCAAAGTTTACCACTTTCTCTTCGGTACTACGTATATAACGCGGTACTTACTGATATAGCGGAGTTTTATCCAATTATAATACTTACTCATGAAAATATCTTTCAACTGTGCAAGTCTCCAGTCTTGTAGAATCTGTTCCATTATGGTATATTCGAAATAATCGAAAAGAAATTGCACTGCCTGCAAACACATAAAACACTTCCTCCTCAAAATCGCAACACATCACTTTCCAACACATACTGGCGCGTACGCGATGCTTACAACGGAATTCCCCGCTCCCCTCTCAATTAAGAGGGGCATAGAAAGACCAGAGCACCACAGTTTTCTTCAAATTGAAATTCCTGTTATTTTCAGTCGATCATAATATAGCTTTGTATGTAGATTCACAAAACTCTTGTTATAAACGAATTGAGTTTTTTGAAGGAATACAGTATTAAATTCAAACAAACACTATGTGTTCAGATCAAGTTGATATTGCTCTCGATTTGAAACAGTTCATTTTTCCCTTCAAATAGGTGGTGGATTTTGAGATGATATTATATTTTCTTGATTCAAAATAGTTCATTTTCGCAACGATATAATCAAACGAATGATGTCGTTGAAAGGTCAAGAAATTTGATTTCTTTCTTGAAAAAAGTGTGATTTTCTGGTGGAACATGGCGATGTTGGCATGAAGTAATAGTTTTTCCAATAAAGATAAACATTTCAAAGCAACCTATGATCTTCTTTTAAAGAAATACTGTTTACTGTGCAGCTTCATCGGACTAGAACCTGTCATTGGCATCGCTTCAGGCTTTGCCAAACAAAGATTGAACACCTGGATGGCAAGAAGATTTATGGACAACTGGCAGAATCTTCCATGATTGGCTCTCTCCAAGGCGTTTATTCACCCTTCGAAGCTTGATACCGAACAATGTCTAACAGGCCTTCTTACACGTCACTGTCATTTGAATCAACATATGCAGAGACTCGGACTGTCGGAAGACAGTTTGTGTCCACTCTGTTTGGAAAATGATGAAACAGCAGAGCACATACTTTGTGTCTGCCCCGCTGGGGACCTAATCAGGTTTTTACAGTTCGGCAGAGCCGTATTCTCACCTTCTGACCTGAAAGACCACTCATCGGCTTCGTTAGGCATCTGGGTTTATTTGGTCGATAGTGAATAGGTGTAAGCCACAATAAACCCTCGAGGATTGTGGTGGAGGGTCGAATAGGCCCACTCACTTTGGACCCAACCTAACCCAACCCATTCATCCAGAAATTGGCCTAATCGCTGAAGATGACTTTTCGATGAGCCCATTCAGCGAACATACGTCGTTGTTTATGGTCATTTACCTCAAGTTCCTGGATCAGTTTAATCTCTTACGGGTGCAGGCCCCAGTCTCAAGGTATAACTCGTTACGTTGTGGTCTTCGAAAGGCTGAGTTCTTGAGTGCCTCTGATTCTCCCGCACACTCTCACAGACAGCGGCAGATCTTGCGTTTAGTCGACGTACAGCTGTTGGTCAATCATTTACTGAACCAGTGGATTCAAATTCATCGACCATATTGCGAATAGTCCTCTCGATAGGACGATTATGGCGACCGTAAAATAGGCTCAGCGCGCGGTACGTTGTCCGAACAGAACACTTATTTTGATAAAACAATCACCTTCCATGGTGATTTGGCAAACACTGAATGAATGACAAATAATTTGACACATGTAGCAAGATGACCGTTATCAATTGTCAAAGTTTTGGAAGTTACTGAGGACTCTATATATCAGATACTCCTTTTCAAACTATCTAGTTGAAGGAACTGAAGAGTATTTTGATAATATTTTTTCCCAACAGATATTTGTCGTGCCTTTTTGAATTGACGTAACTTCTATGAATCGATCGAAATAAATGAAGCACTTAATGTTACACAGACAAAGAGACAACAATCAGTTTTATTGTATTTATGAATATCGAAAATATATACATACAAATATATAATACCTGAACCCCTCATCTGAATCCGTCTCTGTGTCGGACACCCCACTGAATATATCTTTGTTAGATTCGCGCCCTTTGAGGCCATATTTTCACTCTTTTTTCTCCTGGCTCGCCACTATTCCCCGCTTACCAATAACTTCCGAGACGTTTTCTTTAACGCTGCGGGCGTCCCACTTATCAACCCCATATAATTTGGATAAATGTAGGCTAGACGTAGGGCTTTCTGTTAAATATTCTGGTGGAGTGCTCGCTTTGCTTTGTTTTCGAACCATTGATTATGTTATCTGAATTTATTCCGACAGTTCAGTTGATATCTCGTAGATGGCGACAGGGGCTGTTATCTCTTTATTGTTGTTCTCGTGTAAAATACGTGAAACGTATTTCGTTGCAGATAAACGATATTTTGTTGTAAAACAGGAGAAAATCCCATTAGGAAGATTTATTGAAGGTATACATATGTGATTCACATTTCGAACAATCTTTTGAAACAGCTTGATGAAATAATAGAAAAAAAAACATTTTTCAAGCAAGATTCCATTAAATCGACGTAAGCTAATGAACTATAACGAGTGCAATACGTTCTGCTCGGAATTCAGATTTTATTTTTCTACTCCCAAACCAATCATTAGGTGTTTGACAGCAGGTGGGTAATGGCTCATTTAGAATACGACCGTCTTCCGTCCACATCCACGGCGGAATAACACTGAATAATTGTAATAACGAAACTATAAATGTAAATAATAATATCAAAAAAAAACCCTAATAAAATAGTTTGTGAAAAATATTGTCACCAATTTCTGAATCATTCAATTGAGTTCTGACTCAATTGAATGATTCTGACTGACTAAATGGTGTATTATCCAAAGCCATAAATAATCTCAAACGAATTTATTGTACCATTCCTTTCTACGGTCAGTCGTAGAAAAAGTATAGTGTGCACCTCGAGGATGGGCCAATAGGAATTATCGCACTCGGCTAACGCCTCGTGCTCATAATTTTTCGCTCGTGGGTAATCGGTTTCTTATCCTGCTTGGTACGTAATATCCTGTGAATCAACTAACCCTGTCTCACAATGACGTTTTAGTTTCGACTTCTGACCAGTTCTTACTCAAAAATAAAGCTTAAAAGTTTCACTGAAATATGTGCAAAATGTACAGGCTGGGTACACTATTTTTGTCATATTGACGGAAGCTATGGTCATGATATATTACCTAGTCTAGTTCTCAAGTTGGAAATGGTGAAAAATATTTTTACTATTTTTACTATTTTTACTATTTTTACTAGACTTGCGTCTTCAATGAAGACCACAAAAAAATTCAAATGATGTTCAAAAAAATTTTTCGCTTCGTGGAACTCTTTTTACCAGTATAATCAATAAAATCATGTTATAAAACGTCAAAGAGATTCGATTTTTCGTTTATTATAATAACAAAAAATGAATAGTCGACTTATTGTTATGATTTTTTCATATTCTTTATCTTATTTCCATTTTTGTATTGAATAAACGAATAGAC